CAGATCCATCTTATAGGGGGGGTCCAGTGGATCCTCAAACATATCCTGTGGTCATTCCCATAGTTCCAGAATTTATAATTAGAATAGACGTACTTAGAAGATGGCAGAATTCCTACATTCCTGACCTGTGGAGTAAGGGCTTTTATTGTGGGAAAGGCCAAGTGGAAGCCATTAGGACTACCTCTACCTAGGAAACTAGTTAAAAGACATACTACTTTCCTGGAGAGATTTCAGAGAGTGCCATCATCAAGGACTTGAAAGATACAGGGGTGGTGATTCTCACCACATCCATATTCAGCTATCCTATTTAGCCTGTGAAGAAGACAGGTGGATCTTGGAAAATGTCAGTGAATTAGCATAAGCTTCACCAGGTGGTGACTCCAACTGCACCTGCTGTATCAGATATGGTTTCATTGCTTGAACAAATGTATGCATCCCCTATATGTGGAATCTAAAGAACAAAACAAGGGACTTCCCTGGTGGCACAGTGGTTGGGAATCTGCCTGCCAATGCAGGGGACACGGGTTCAAGCCCTGGTCTGGGAAGATCCCACATGCCGTGGAGCAAGGAAGCCCGTGAGCCACAAGTAGTGAACCTGTGCTCTAGAGCCTGTGAGCCACGACTACTGAAGCCCGCACGCCTACAGCCCATGCTCTGCAACAAGAGAAGCCACCGCAATGAGAAGCCCACGTACCACAATGAAGAGTAGTCCTTGCTCTCTGCAACTAGAGAAAGCCCACACGCAGCAACAAAGACCCAACGAGCCAAAAATAAATAAATAAATTTATTTTGTAAAAAAACAACCAAGTGAACAAACATAACTAAACAGAAACAAAGTCATAGATACAGAGAACAAACACTTGGTTGCCAGAACATAGAGGGATGGGGTGGGGGAAATGAGTGAAATAGGTGAGGGAGGTTAGGAGGTATTAAGCTTCCAGTTACAAAATAAATGAGTCATATCATTTTGGGTTTTTTTTTTTAAATTTATTTTTGGCCGCGTTGGGTCTTCGTTGCTGTGCGCGGGCATTCTCTAGTTGTGGCAAGCAGGGGCTAGTCTTCGTTGTGGTGCGTGTGCTTCTCATTGCGGTGCCTTCTCTTGTTGGGAGCACGGACTCTAGGTGCGTGGGCTTCAGTAGTTGTGGCACGTGGGCTCAGTAGTTGTGGCTCGCAGGCTCTAGAGCACAGGCTCAGTAGTTGTGGCGCACGGGCCTAGTTGCTCCGCGGCATGTGGGATCTTCCCGTACCAGGGCTCGAACCTGTGTCCCCTGCATTGGCAGGTGGATTCCCAACCACTGCGCCACCACGGATGTCCCATCATTTTGGTTTTGTGCCATAAGCACAAAAATTTTTTTTTCAATTCAAAAACTCAATTGCAGTGCTTAAAATTATACACATAATTTTTCAAGATTGTGAACCAGGGTTCCACTGTACCTTACTGAAACGTCTATAGTGTGTCTGCTTTGTACTAGACATTGTTTTAAATTTTTGGTATACAGTAGTGAACAAAACAAAGAGCCTTGACCTCAAGAACATCAAGAGAGGGAGACAGAAAATAAACAATAATTATAATAAGCAAAGGATATATCAGAAGTTAATCGGTGCTATGACAAAGAAAATGATAAGGAAGAGAACAGTAAGGTGGATGTGGGTGCCAGAGTTGAGGGTATTGGTTTGCAATTTTTATTAGGATAATCAGGGAAGAGCTTATGGAGAAGGTGATACATGACCAAAGTCAATAAGAAGGTGAAAGTGTGAGCCATGTGGAGATGGGAGGGGACAGGGACAGTCCTGGCATAGGATTTAAAGCAAGTGTGTATCCAGCTAGTGCATGGAGCAGGAAACTAATGTGGAGTAAAGCAGAAAGGTGTAAAAGACTGTGAGGACTTTGACTTTGACTCTGGGACGATGAGGCCATTGCAGTTGGATTTTGTATGGAAGAAGACATACTCCAAACTTATGTGTGTATTACTTTTCTACTGCTATGTAAAAGCTATCATAAATGTATAGCTTAAAACAACACACACCAATTATTTCACATTTTTAGTGGATTAGGAGTTTGGTCATGGCTTAATTGAGTTGCCTGCCTCAAGATCTTACAAAGTTGTGCTCAAGTTGTCAGTCAGGACTGAAGTCTCAACAGAGACTCTACTGAGGAACAAGATGCTTCGAAACTCATTCAGGTTATTGCTAGAATTTATTTTCTTGTGGTTGTAGGACTGAAGGCTTTAGTTTCTTGTTGTCTGTCGATGAAGGTCACCCTCAGCTTCTAAAAACTGCCTGCAGTTCCTTATTATGTGAGCCTGCCAACATGGTTGCTTGCTTCATCAAGACTGCAAGGGAGGGCTTCCCTGGTGGCGCAGTGGTTGAGAGTCCGCCTGCCGATGCAGCGGGCACGGATTTGTGC